GCTGCCTGCCCAGCGCTGCCACCCCTCCCGCGCAGACAGCAAGGCCATCGTGGACAGGAAGCTGAGCACGAGCCCCAGGGCGCCCAGCAGACCCGCTTGATGGGCAGAACCGCAAAGCTGAGCGAGGCCGTTCTGAGAGGGGCTGATGGGCCCAGAGGAGCGCTCGGGAACATGTCACGGAAAGGGCATGTCTGCGCACGAGAGGCGCGACCAGAGGTCACTTTCGCCAGTGTCAGCATGTCACGAGTTTATTTTGAAAGTAGAGAGGATAGAGGGGAGGCCGCTGTGGGAGTGACAAGAGGCACCCAGCTGGGCCGGCCCCGAGAAAGGGTGCCCATGCCAATGCCCGCGGCCTGGAGTGGCTTCCTGCCCTGGAGAGCACAGGGGCAAAGTGGGCAGTCACCGAAGTCGCTGGCCTGTCAGCTCCCGGCAGTCGACAGCGGCCCTCCGTCGGCACCATGCTTTCCGGGCATTCGCACTGGGCGTGCCAGGAAGCAAAGAGCCTCGGAAGCAGCGGTTCTTGCCCTCCCCTCTGTCCGTTAGCTCCAGAGGCGTGTTTGAGTGGGGGGTGGCCGGGCCAGCTGAGGCCAGTGGCCGGAGTGAGGAGCTGAGAGCAGCAGACCTGCTGGCCTCGGGGCTGGACCTCAAGGCGGTACTGGCGCGTGAGCCTGCTGCTGGCCTGCGTGGCCAGTGTGGGTCCAGCAAGTGGACGATGCCCCTTTCTGATCATTTTAACAGCACGCGGGTGTCTTAGACTTGCCAACACGGAGCCAGCTGCGGCCGCAGTCTGAGAGGCTGTCCTTTGCTGCAGCAGCAGCTCAGCTGTGGCTCCTGGGGGCGCCGAGCTCCTTCCTCAGCTTTGCTGCAGCCCAGGGCCTGCTATACGTGACGTTCCCTCCTTGCTCGGTGACACTCCCCGCTGAGCACCGTGATGGGGGAAGTGGGGGTCGCAGGCACGTCCTCGCAACCATGAGGCCTGGCCTGGGTGCTGGGGGCACCACGGCACAGCGGGGTATGGCGCTTCCGCCCCAGCAACAGGGCCCGGCACACACGCCCCTGGGTGCACAGTGGTGCCCATGGGGTCCTGTTGGGCCCTGCCTGGGAACGGGCCAAGCCTGGCTGCGGGGTAGAAGCTGGGCCTGGAGGCGGGGGCCGGAGCCGCCAGTGGCTGGAAGAGGTAGAGTCCCGGGAGAGCAGCTGCCGGCCACTTGGTTCACATTGTGATGTCTCACGTGGCCTCCAGGTACCTCCTGGTGACAGGGAGACTGGCCCGGGCTGGCTCTGGCCTTCTGCGCCTTCGCCAGACCTGGCGCGCAGTGAGGCGCTCTGTGTGCAGCCCTGCACGCCACCCCATCTGCCGCACTCAGCCGGAGGCAGAAGGTCTGGGTGCATGGGCATGTGCCCCTCACCTGGCATCTGGCTGCCGCCACAGCTGCTTGTGGCGTCCGGCAGTCTCTGCAGGGCGCCCTTGACTTCCTTGTTCCTCAGACTGTAGAGCCTGGGGGTCACACAGGTATAGATCAAGGGCACGACTTTGTCTTGCTCGGGGGTGTCACATGACTTGGGGCGAATGTACATGTAGATGGCGCAACAACAGGTGCCCGGCACAGGTGGAGAAGGCGGCGACGACGCAGCCGTAGGACAGCAGGGTCAGCAGGAGGGGGAGCAGACAGACGAGGAAGACGGCGACCTCGTCGGCACACGTGTGAGCAGGCCAGCAGACCACAGCGGGCGTGTCGCAGAAGCGCTTGATCTCGTGGGCTGGCAGAAGGGCGGCAGGAACATGAGCGTGGTGAGGGTGAGCGAGAGCACGCAGCCACTGGCGCATCTGCAGGCGCGGCCTGGTGACGAGCAGGGCGTAGCCAGGGCAGCGGACAGCCACAGGGCGGTCGCAGGCCACAGGGCCAGGGTGATGAAGAGCAGGCGTCTGCGCGCACAGTCGGGGGTGCCCACTGGCTCCGGGCCAGGAAGGTGGGCGGCGGTGACAGTGACCAAGATGTAACATATTTCAGTGGCAGACAGGCCGCGAAGGAAGAAATGGGGGTCTGGAGGCAGCAGCCCAGGAGGTCGTGCGCCCAGCGAGGGTGATCGGAGGCCAAACAGGTCGCCAGAGCCCAGGACGAGAAACTCAGCACTTTGGCTGTGCTCTCTTGGCCGTGGGGCCGTCCTCTGTCCCCTCTGCAGGTCGCTGAGGCCGGGAGGCCGCGTTCTAGCAGCAGCCCAAGCAGACCCCAGCTCCCTTTCTGCAGTGAGCAGCTCTCCGGGCCTGCAGGCCCTCTGCTCCCAGGGGGCAGGACCCTAGGTATCCCCGCACCCGCCTACGAACCAGACAGAGTGGAGTCTCCACATGGACTTATTCCTCCGAGCCCAAGCCCCCAGCCTGCAGGGCCCTCCCTGGTGGCGCAACAGGTTAGGACGCAGCACTGCAAGCTGGCTGCTGCTGCTTCAGCGCGAGTTGGGTCCCCGCCCCGGAGGTGACCCCAGGGCGCGGCAGACCCCTCCTGGCCCGCCCGCTGCCCCCTCAGCAGTGGACTTTGTCCATCTGCCTGTCCTGCTCCCCACTGTCTCTGGTGACGCCTCCCACCGCCGTTGCACCTCTGGCCTGCACCCCAGCTTTATATGCACAAATAAATGAATCTTAAAAAAGAAAAAAAGGCCTTTAACTCAGGACGGCGCTCAGTCCTGTGTAGGGGTCAGTCCGCGAGTGGGGCCAGGTCTGTGCGTGCACGTGACACCTTTGATGTGCATCGGCTGTGCCGCCCCCGACCCTGAACTTCCGTCGCCAGGACCCTGGGCCGCAAGCGGGTTTCCCAGCAAGCAGAGGGGCAGCACCCCAGAGCTGCCTGTCTCTTCCAGGACACCTCCCCGCCCCTCCCCCGAGGCTGTGCTCTGTGGCCCTCCAGCTCCCCCAGCCCTGGTCACGCCTGCGTCCTGTGATTGTTGGTTGGTCTGCTCGGCCCCGAGCCTTGGTAAGCGGCCTGGGAGCGAGCGGCCTTCGTGGCTCGGACCCTCGTCCCCAGCTTTGCCCCATCACACCACGTCCACTGTATTCTGCTGCAGAAACTTGCGCGTGGCTGTGTGTCGCTGGCCCTGAGCCTCGGAAACACTAGAAAACCAAAATGAAACTGAAAGTCACTCAGGTCCCAAAGCCTCGGGAAGGGCGACGTGAAAGCAGGGAGGTCAGGGGTTCCTCCGCCCCCGCCTCTGGGCTGCCCCCTTGCCCCTTTATGGAACTCCAGAGGCACACTGCCATGCCTGCAGCTCGCGGGCGGCGGCAGCGGGGCCCAGTGCCCGCTGACTCGGAAAAGCGTCCCCCGCGCAGCGTGCTCAGGCCTCTGCTGGCATCTGGAGGGCCAGCAGGGAGAGCGGGGCCGGCGTGAGGCACCCTCGTGGACGCCGGCACCGCACGAGCACACGTGCTGCCCTGCTGCGACGACACACGACACGCAGAGACCCAGTGCGCCTGGGCGGCGTCAGCTCGTGGCGACAGCTGTGCCCGTGCCTGTCAAGCCCTGTGCCCACCGCAGCCCAGCCCGGCACCTGTGCGGGACACAGCAAGGAGCAGGGGCCTGGCGCCGCGTCTCTGCTGTCCAAGCTGGCAAGTGCAGGGTGCACATTTGCCCCACACGTGCCCCTGGGAGCTCCGCACTGGGCACAGCTCCTGAGCCTGGTGCTTCCAAGGAGCAAGGTGCAAAGCCGTGGAGCACGTAAGCAGAGGACGGAGCTGCCCCCACTGGGAAGGCGAAGGGAGGATGTCCCGCGCTGGTGCTTTGCTTGAGCGCCTCTGGCCCTGGCAGCTCCCTGCCCCGTCTGCAGCGGGTGCCCGGCCCAGAGCCACGGCAGCTCTCAGCCGCCAGCAGAAAGTGCAGCCCCTGCCTCGGAACTCAACCCCAGCCCACCAGCCAACCCCACCATCCACAGAGAGTTCACAGTTGCTCCCCAACTTTGCCCAACCAGGTGGTTTACAGTCTTGCTGATCTCATGGACAAAGATGTCTATTTAAATTTGTCTTGAAAGGGGCAATCTCTGGGGGTGCAGCAGGTTAGAGCGCAGCACTGAGAAGCTAAAGCCGCTTCTGCGTGAGTTCCATTCCCGCCTGCCCCGGAAGTGACCCCATGGCGCGGCAGACCTCTCCTGACCCGCCCGCTGCTCCCCTCGGCAGTGTACTTCATCGATCTGCTTGTTCTGCTCCCCACTCTGTCTCTGGGG